GGGACGCTCTAGGGAAAACGGGTGTGTCACTCAAATTAACGGTGGAGTGCTGGAAGTAAGAACTCCAAGTGTGCCCTGCAAAGGACGGAGCAGCTGCCCAAGCGCTGCTGCTGAAGGCTGGGACAGCAGGGCAGTCAGCACCAAGCAGCCATTCTGAGCTGCAGCCTCAACTGGGGCTCCTTATGCCACATGGATGTGACTCAGCAGTGATGTTTGGTTTTGCAACAAGCTTTCCTCTGCTTCCCACTGCCCTGTGTCCCTGGGGCTGGCCAGCTTCTGCTTAGAAATACCACTTGCCCTGGTCTCCACCAGGCCCTGGAGAGGCTCTCTAGCCTCTCTGCAGCCCTTCCTTTTCCTAGTCCTCCTCTGCCCAGGGACGAGTGGTGACTGTTGAGAGAATGTCAAAGGCCACCTTGTGCTTATGATGGGAGTTTCAGCCAGCAGTGTTGCTGTCTCCCCACTTCCCTCCCCCACTCAGGCAGGGGAAAGACCAGGAAAGCTTGGCAAAGACCCCAGCCCGGCTCCTGAGGCTGAATCCAGGATGTCAGCAGAATCCCCTCTAACTGGGGTATGGAAGGACCTAGGGTGGTCACAATTGAAGACTATGCCTTGGGAGGAGACTCTGCTCTCAGGAGGCCTTTTCCTGGATTCATCTGAGCTCTGATGGTCTGAATCATACATTTGCTGAGCAATGGGAAGAAAGTTCAGCCCAACGCAATCTGTGCTGAGAGTTAGTACAGAGGTCAGCCCAGAGCTGACAAAATCCTTTTGCAGGAGAAAGCTAAAGACATCCTGGAGATGAACATGAGACCAGAGACGCCAAGACTGAGTGGCCTTAATGGGAAGAAGGGCTGAGAGAAAAAGGAAAAGGGTGGTGTTAGCAAGTAGCAGCCGTTCAAAAGATAGAGAGGTTGTTCAAAAGATAGAGACTGGTGTGAGGAGAGGAAGCTGAAGAAACAGATGAAAACACTGTTCACAAGTTCCAAATAGGACTATGTTGCAGTCTGAGAGAGTCGTCTGCATCAGCTCTTTTTCTCTAAAATGGAGTGTATTGAATGAGGCCCCCCTTCCCTCAGAAATGGCCTCCAGGAGGACTCTGGCCTCCTGGGAGAAGTAAAGAGAGCCTGACTTTCTAGGAAAGAATCATAACTTGAATGTACTTCCATGACTGTTAAACCAAGGTCTTGTCTGAGAAGCTAAGATGGTGGTAGATGCTTGGACTATAGCAAGAGTCAGTGGACAGACACATACGCTGCACACCCAAGCTATGCACGGCAAAGTGGCTGGGAGAGTGTTCAGCAAGGAATGCTGCAGGTACCAAAGATCCCTGCCATGCCCACCCCCAAGTTCAAAATGTCATTCTTTTCCTCCTTCATTTGACACTTCAAACTTATCATCAGGAGAAAAGAGAAAGCCACTTGTTCATAGATTCCTCACTTGGTGACTTTTGTTGGAGTTTTCATTGTCAGCTTCAAAAGTGGTATGGCCTGGGGATGAAGAGATGGCTCAGTGGTTAAGAGCACTTGTTACTCTTGCAAAGGACCTGCAGTCAGTTCCCAGCACCCAGATGGAGACTCACAGTCATCTGTAACTCACTTCCAGGGTATCTGACACCTTATTCTGGGCTCCATGGGTAACAGGAATACACATACACTAGTTGTAGACACACTAAAAATATATCTTTTTATAAAGGTCATGTGCCTCAGGTCTAGGGTGAGCACAGCTCTGCTATGAGATGGCATGCTTAGCCCAAATGATGCTCTGCCAGACCTACAAGGTCCCCCTCTCCATTGCCTCTGCTGGGGCCATGTGTGGCTCCCAGGAAGCAGACAGTGGTAGCATGAGCCACAGTGCCAATGGCAGTAAATGTAGACTAGAAGATGTTATTCTTCCTAGCTCCTCCACAGATCCTCTCGAGGACCCAGAGGCTGGGTGGGGCTGCTTAGCTCTCTGGGTGCCAAGCCAGCAGAGGACAGCTACTTCTGTATTCCCCAGAACCTATACTGGGGCACACCAAACCCTCATTACAGCTCTGTGCACATTCTATAGAGCAATTGCCCTCGCTCAGAGCCTGCTCCTAGGGCACCCTCTGGCCATGTGGCTCACACTGGGGGAGCCTAGGAGGAGGGCTTAGCATCATAGCTAAGGATAAGCTAGGGAGGAAAGTGTGTGCCACACACTGGGTGCATCCCTTCATCCTTAAGACTCTTTACATCTGACATTGGGTGGGTTTGATCCGGGACTTCTGGGATGCAGGGCCCAGGGACAGAGCCCCAGTGACCTTGGCCAGAAGGTGCCAAATGGGACGTCAGGAGAAAGTGAGCAGGTTCTTGGCTTCACTATTTTAGGTGCAATCTGAAGTAAGTGTCCAAGCCTCTTTGGGCTTCACATCTGGATATTACTTTGAAACTTGGGCTCAAGCTGCTAAGTCTGGTCATGGCCAGTGGGTATCAGCCACTAGTCTTGGTTTCTAGTCCACCCCATCATAGCGATCCTCAGAATGAATATCTGGACTTCTCTAGACAATATGTCTGTGACTGAGAAGGGAACAGTCTCACCTACCTTAGATTTCTTCCATCTGTGATCTGTGATCATAAAAGCAAGCAAACCCTGACTAGGCCTGCCTAGTAAGACAGGCCTAGTCTGTCAGGCAGGCTAGCCCTGTATACAGCCAGATCCCTCACTGAGATCCTAAGAGAAAATAAGGACATTAGGAAGTTGTGAAGGCAGAGGGCTCCTGACTAAGTTGCATAGGGAAAGTGTGATGGGGAACTATGAGTCTTGCAGGGCTCAGAGACAGCCCTGGAGAGGACAGACAGTCCTGCGGAGGGGAGGGAAACAGAGGAAGTCCCTTCTATAAAGTGCTCTTTGCTTTGCATAGAACTTGTAAAGCCCATCCTCCTATACACTGACAGGAATGTCCACATCACTTATCATGGAACACAAGGTAAACACCACACAAATAGTTGCAGGAGATTGTTTAAGGAAAGAGACAGATAAAAAGACTGTCTGTGCTAAATGAAGATTCAAGTCTGGGTTTTCACAGATTTCAGTCTGTGGTTGGTTGAATCCACACTGGAACAAAGGCCAACCATATACACATATGTTATATAAAGCACAAACAGGTTCACCCTCCAACACAAGTCATGTAGGACTTGCTTTTGTCTGCTGATTAAGTCACAACACACAGGCCGGGGCTGGAATCCCCAAGTCAGGGCTGTGCCTTACCCAGCAGCCACTCTGCCTGGCTTGGCAGCAGCACTTCCTGCTGCCAGCCCTCCAGCTCTCAGTGCTGACCAAGAGAACTGCTTTGCCATCTGGTTTGACCTGATTTCCCTCTTCTTTTTCTTCCCCACACTGCAGGCTTGGGAGTCTGGGCGGGTGGTGCAAATGCAGCTCAGCTGGCAGAGCAGGAGGGAGGCAGACTTTGCTCTTTTTAGAGGCCAGTGGGCAGTCCTCTGGCGTCAGGCCACTGGGGCCTCTGTGAAGGCATTTGGCTTGATCAGGAGGACCAGCTACGCAGGTGGAGCATGGAGGGCAGCGTTGCTTCAGGTTGCTCCTGTCAGTGAGCACTTGGAGCCACCTGGTTAGCTTTGCGTGGGGACCTACGTGGGTCTTCCCACCCAGATGAATCCTATCTGCCACATCAAAAGTTCAGCAAAGAGACCCGTTCACATATTCATTCTCTCACTTAGACTTTCTTTCCACCCAAAGCTGTTGGCACCATAGCAGATTCTTACATTCTTACTGGAAAAGGTATTGAACAGCACTTCATATAGGAAGAGTCTTTGGGTAATATGTTCAGACTGCAGGAAAATGGGGTAGATGGGGAAATGTGAGAGAAGGTGAGTGCTGGGTGGGGCTGAGTAGAGGGAGCTTTGTCGGGGAAGAACATTCAGGCAGGGGCTGTTTTGCTGAGCAAAAGCTGGGCAGCCATACAAAGCGGGCATGTTGGGAGCCCAGAGCTGACTGGATTGATGTCCCCTGTACAACAGAGGAGGAAGGGGCTGTCGAGAAAGGAGTCTCTCCATCTGCCAAGTGGCCTAAAGCCAGTCACCTGCCTCTCTGACCCTCAGATCGCCATCTTGTAAACCACATTCCAGAATCCTCCTCTGACCTGTCCTATAGGGAACTCTGAGAGGTCAAAGGACCACAGAGGCTTTGCTCTGCAGATAGAGTCTACATGTTTGCTTCTGCTCAGGGCCTCTTCTACACATTCCACAGTCTCATTTGGCCTTAGGCTTTGGTGGCCTAAAAAGATTCAGACCATGGGAGATGGGAGGGGCATTGGTGGTGGTATTGGTGGGGTCTCTGGTGAAAGGCCTCCGTCAGGAGAGCTGCAGGCACAGAGGTAAGGAGGGGGAATTCCTGTGGCCAGCAGACCGGCTGGGCTGGAAAGAGTGGGTGCAGCCTGCTTGCACAGGTGGCTGGGCTGTGTGGGAAAGGCCAGGAGGCCAGCGCTTCCTGCAGCCTGGGATTCCAGAGTATTTACAGGGTGAAGTATGTCATAGGTCTGGAGGAAAGGCCTGGGAGGTAGGCAGGCTAGTGTGTCAAGGGTATCCTTTCCCACCCAGCAGGCCTCCTGTCCCTTTGGGTAGCACATAGGGGTAGGAAGAAAGCAAGCACACTTCTAACTCACTGATGATCTACGTCAGACACAATGTTTCTTTAAATGTGTAAATATGCCTCTGCAGTTTCTGAGACCTAGAATTCTCTTTCTGTTTATTCCAGACCCTGGATTGAGCACAGGCCTCCTACTCTCTTGGCTGTCACCTCTGCTCTCTCAACAGCCCCATGGTGGTTTGTGTAGTCCTATTGTTTCCTAAGAGCCTTCCTCTAGCCCACCTAATTCTGGGAGATGCTGGATCCTGGAGGAACGTATTCCACAGCCAATGAGACGGATCCTTTGGAGAATTTAAGCCAGGACACCAGAACAATGAGACAGTGTTAGCCCCTGTTGACAAGGCTGTCACAAACACTCACTCCTGCTGACCACTTACTTTCCTGGGTGTTTCGATCCAGCCTCACTTACATCATTCTGAGCTGTCAGGTCTGACCAGTGCTCTAATGTAGATGAAGAAACAGCAGTTATGAGATCCATGTCAGATCGTCTCATGCAGCTTGTGTGCCACAACCCAGTTCTTCAAGAAAAAAAAAAAAAAAAAAAAAAGAACAAAAATTAGGATACTTTATTACCTATGTGGTATGTCCATATTTACACAAGATGACTGCAAGTCTCTGTAAAGAGAGTGCACTGCGAACTGCTGGTGGAAATGCTATGCTCCACAGACTAGGAAAGGTTTCCTAGAGCTGACACACAGATGAATGTAAGATGCAAATAAAGCTAACATGGGTTTAGGCTCCGGCCAGGCTTCCATCTGTCATCTGTGTCAGTTTGAAGTCTGCAGTCTGGGTCTCTTGGTGATATGGACCTACTCAGTGGGGAAGGAGGGTCCTGGATCAGGATGGTCCGCTGGTCAGGGCAGTGACTATTTTAGCGACGGATGGGTCTCGTCTTTTGTCCTTCGCTTTGCTTCCTCCAGGGAGGCAGCAGAGGGCTGAGAGGGTTCTGAGCCCTACAACACTCAGCTCCAGGTTGTCTCTTACTGGAAGGGGCCAGGGGGTCTGTAGGGTGGTGCAGTCCACAGAGAGAACCGGGAAATAGTTTGGAGCCACAAAGAGTGAGGAGAGCTGCCTTTGTCTTCTCTGAAGCCTGTCACCTTCCTGTCACCTGAGGTGCTTTGCAACCTTGGGGCTGTTCCATTGTCACGTGACTTTTCCTCACTTTTAAGCTGTTGTAGCAAGCACTACATAAAGACCTGAGGTATGAAAAACACTCGGCCACAAACCAGCTCTACAAACTCAACTGTCTCAGAGATGTCACGTTTACTTCATTTCCTGGAGTTCAAAATAAATGTGACCCTGAGTGACAGTCCTGCTGAGGGCCAGGCATGCCCTTCCTCGGGGGAGAGGTGGGGAGGGCCTTCTTTAGGACAATAAACTGTCTACCCCTGAGATGCACCTGCACTCCACCTCTCCCCTCAGCTGAGTGCCCTTGAGCACCTAGTCCCTCCTACAGGGCCCCTTAGCCAGTCAGTGGCACCTGTACAGCTAAGCTGGATGGAGGCTGAGTTAGATGCAGCACTTGGCCACTTCTTCTGCATTCTGCCAGCCCCCCTCCCCACCCTCTTCCCAGTCCTAGGGAAATCCCCCTCTGTTGCATGGCATAAGAAAGCAAATGGCTTTCTCTCTCTTTCCTGGAGGCAGCCTGTACTGAGAACCTTCTAGAAGGCTAAAACATTGTTAAAACTGAAGGAAAGACAGTACAGGAAGCACACAGCATGGAGGAAGGCCTTGCAGGTCTTTCTGAAACCTGTAGGCATGTACTCCTGATAACGACACCATCTACCCCCTCACCCCCAAGACCCTGCAGCGTCATCTTCAGCAATCCCACTGGTTCCCCACCATCACCACCACCCAGTGTGAAGCTCCTCACTGCTACCAATGAAGCTTCTTTGGACACCATTTCAGAATGGCTTGCATGAGCTCAGGTCTGACCATTTTGCTTTCCTGTTTAAAACACAAGCTCCTCCACACAGCTTCTCAGATCCTGTGACTGGCTCCCTGCTTGTCTTCTCAACTTTGGCCCTCAAGCTTCCTCTTTTCAATGCCAGTTTGTGCTTCCAGAACTTACATCACCCTTTCTCTTCTCCAGGGATTTTGGCCCATTGTGACTGTGCCTTGCTCAGCCTCCTGGCAGCTTCCTCAGGCCTTCTACAGTGTTAGAGTGGAGTTGAATGCCCCTGGGCTGAGACCCAAAAGAGCTCTGCTGTGTGCCTGATATGTAGCTTATTATTCTCAGAGCCTCTGGCTTCTCATCTGTAAGCTGAGCATCACAAAACCAGTGTCATCATGGGACCACAGTGAAGAGCCCATGAGAAAACAGGTAACAATACTGAGAAGAAGTGGAAATGGTGTCCTGAAGGCTTAGTAAGTAGAACCTCCTTTGTCATTCTCCCATTCACCTTCTCCGCTTGTACATCCCTCAGCTGAATAAGCAGGGCATAGATTATTTACCCGTCAAGGAGATGGACAGCTAGATTCTCCATGGGGACTTTGTGTGATAACCTATACAGGAGGCGGCCACATTTGCCCGCATTTCCTACCTGCCAGGTACCATGTGGAATTTTTAAAGGCATTAATTTGCAAAATCCCCAAATCCACTAAGGGGAAGTTTGTATTTTATTTATCTGACCGTGTCCAACTCATCAATGTTAAAATGGAGCCAACATGATAGGCTTTGACTCTGAATCTTTGTTCCCTTTGTCCTAGGCTAGTAATGAACACTGGATTCTTTCTGGGGTTGAGGGGTAGCAGCCAGCTGCCGCTTGGAGTCGGTTCTGGGTCCTGGAGTCCAACAATGTAGTGTCCTCGGCCACCGAGTGTGGTGGTTAGTGCCTTCCACTCCTGCACGCTACAATGGCGTGCCTTCCTCAGACTGGCCTGCCAGCACATCTGTGAGACATGCTCTTGCTCGTTAGTCGACACGGGAGAACCTACCCACCACAGGCAGTACCACCTAGGCAGGTGGTTCTGGGCTGTGTAAGGAAGCTGCATATTCGTCGCAAGGATCGGAGCCAGTAAGAATCACCCTTCCCTAGTTTCTGCTTCAAGTTCCTGCCTTAAATTCCTGCTCTGCCTTTGTTCATGATGTGCTGTGACCTGGAAAGGGAATCCAAATAAACCCTTTCCTCCAAGTTGATTTTGAACAGATGGTTTAATCACAGCAGGAAACAAACAAACAAACAAACAAAAAACCTAGAACACACACACACACACACACACACACACACACACACACACAGAATATCTAGGAGACTGGTTGGGAAGGCAGTGTGGGGCACAACCAGCAAAAGAGTGACTTGTCCTCAGCACAGATAGCAACCCAGGGCAAACCTCAGTGTCCTGGGTTCTGCCGCTGACCTATCGCACTGGTCAGCAGTGTGGCCCCAGGAGCACACGCTTCCTCTCCTGAAGAAGCTTGTCTTCACAGCGGTTCCAGGGGCAAAGAGCACAGGTTCATTCTCTCTGGGCTGAGACCTGGGCTACCCCTGATCTCAGGCACCCTGACCATCACATGACTGCAAGCTGCTTGCAGGCTATTGGGGAATCCTTTCTGACCTCCCTTCCATCTGACCTCATTCTCTGGCTCCTGCTGCTTTGTGATGCTCATGTGGAGCACCTGTTGGTATGTAAACTTTGTAGTAAACTTGATAAAGAAAAATAAAGTGATGCCTGTGAATGAGGCCTGTAAGTAAGCATTCTAAGGTTTAAAACATATCTTCAGTTCACAGGTGGTGACAGCTAGGCCTGCTGGCCTGTGCATACCAGCATTCATGAAAAATATTTACTGAGCAGCTACATGAACTGTACTCTGCACTGTCAGAGTGTTGTGAGAACAATCGTATACATAGGCATGGCTCCTGTACTCAACCAGACTACAGGGCAGGGACTGGAGAGATGATGGTTTAGTAGTTAAGAGCCCTACTGCTCTTGCAGAGGACCATTTCCAGCACCCTCACGGTGGCTCACAACTGCCTGTAACTCCTGTCCTTGGGGACCCTGTAAGCTCTTCTGGCCTCAGAGGGTACTGCATACATGTGATACACATATATTCACAGGTTCACACTCATACACATAAATAATAGTGAGTTAAAAAATCTAGTCGGGTGTGGTGGCTCATGCCTTTAATCCCAGTATGTGGGAGGCAGAGGTAGGTGGATCTCTGGGTTCCAGTTTAGCTTGGTTTACAGATCGAGTTCCAGGACAGTGGGAACTACACAGAAAAACCTTGTCTCAAAACAAACAAGTAGAAAATAATGAATGAATGAATGAATGAATGAATGAATGAATAAATAAATAAATAAATAAATAAATAAATAAATAAATGTCATCTTAAGAAATGTTTAAGACTACAGAATACAGGTAGAAAGTCAATTGAAAGCAATAAAAAGCAAAATAAGTTCAGGTGGCTAAAGTGACAGCACAAAGTGTGTAACAACAAAGTCTTTAAAAGAGGGTGCACAAATGGATAGTTCCACACAGATGTTCACAGCATCATTATTTCCAAGAGCTCAAAGCAAGAAGCACCCAGTGTCCATAAAGAGTGAGCAAACTGAATGTGAAATGACTGCCACATATGTTAAGATGTTATTCAGGAAGGTATTTTGGCCCCGGCTACCTGAGCCTTAAGATCAGCCAAATACAAATGTGTACAGACAAATAACAGATGGGTATGGTGGTGTGTGCTTCTAATCCAAGCACTTGGGAGGCTGGGGCAGGAGAATGGTGAGTTCAAGGGCACCTTAGGCTACACAGCAAGTTCCACACCAGCGTGGGCTGTGCAATGGGCCCTCCCCTCAAAAATAAACAAAGACAAAACTGTGTTGTTCTACTTAAATGAAGTCTCTAAAATAGCCAAATTCATAGAGATGGAAAACAGAATGACAACTGCTGCTGAGTTAGGGAACGGAAGTAAGAAGGAGCTTGAAGGCAGCAAGCGGAAGTTCTGCAGGGTGGGGCACAGCATGGGGATACACCAGCACACCGAACTGCACTTTGAGACAGTCATCATGGCAGACTACGCAACGTACGAGGCTATTTTTACCATCCTTTATATAAAAAGGAGAGAACAAGAGAAGAGGGGGTGGAAAGAGAGACAGAGAGAGAAGAAAAGATGGAGAGAGGGAAGGGAGACCCGGACTTCCAGGGAGAGAAGCTGAGCTGTATCCTGGATTCCCACGTAAATGTGAGTGAGTCTTCCTGTCTCTTGGGGTGGCTGTTGAATGCCACGTAAGGTACTCATGAGAACCCCGGACATGCACATGGTACGCACAGGACGGAGGTGAAACCTTTGCTGTTGTCATCTCTAGCGCTAACCAGACGGCTGTGGGCACACCCGCATCAAGCAGGGGTTGAGAGAGCTGGCGGCTCCTACTCCCAAAGGAAGGCCCTGCGCTTGATCTTGTGTCCTCTGTGGATCACGTCCTTCCCTAACCCTGAAGTGACCTTCTGAGCACATCTCAGCTGTCACAACCCATCATTCTCCTCTAAGACATTGCCTTCGTCTGTTCCCGGTGAC